TTGGGCTTGGAGTCGTTGACATTCGAGTTCAGCTTGTAGCTCCTCTTCCAGCTGCTGCTGCAACTCCTCGAGCTCCATCTGCTTCAGTCATTCTTCGAGCTGAGCTCTTTCTAGCTCTGAGAGAACATTAGAGGGGAATCTGCCAATGGATGAGCGTATTGAACGCGTGGATCTAGAACTGGAGCTCCTCCATGATGAGTGCGTCCGCTCAATGTGTGAACACTGGGAGGAGGGAGCCGGTTGAGTGGTTTGGGGTTGTCCCTCGGGAGGGAGAGTTGCAACCACATAGTCAGCTAGATATGCTGGGCGGCGTCGTTCCCTCTGTGAAGTGCGTTGGGGTGCAGATTCAACCTGGGAGTCCGTATCTGTGTGTTCCATACCTTAATTGGTGCTCTAATCCGGCTTGAAGGACCATAAAACGGAGAATGTGGTCTCTCCTGGAAACTAGTTGGTTTAGAGCGGTAAAGTATGGATGTGTGTGTCCCGGTTAGAGAACACGGAAATGGACTCCTGGTTCAGATGTTGTTGATTTATTCAGCTGCAGTCTTTTGGCATTTACACACAGCAATAACTCAAAGAAACAGGTGGATGGACTCAAACAAGCCTGGAAAAACCCATCCGCTATCGGCAGCTGCCTGACTTGAGAAGCTAACGGCTCTCACAGCATCGCGTCTCGCTACGGGTGAGGTGCATTCAAGGAGCGTCAGTACAACTCTGATGCATTCAATAACGTGGGGAAAAATACAAATTACAATGCAAACAAAGAATTAACGAATGACACTTGATGAATGCCACATAACTAAGAAAAGACAACAACATACAATAATGTGAGCTTTCTAACACCTTGATTGAACATGTCCCTATGGTCACATTATTTTCAGTCTTTTCTAGGGGCACCATCATTTTTGTCCAGGCCTGTTTCATGAGTTTATTTTTTAAAATAATTCTGTTGAACCACGGTTCAAAAGCAATGTCTGATTTTCATTGGTTAATATTCATAGAATTTTTATTTATCATTACTTTTCTCAGATTCAAGTTAATTCTGTGACCATTGTGGGTTTTTCTTTCATTAACCGAGGGGTACCAGCAATTTTGTCCACATGTATATTTACTTACTTTCCACCACTGCAGCTAAATTAGGGTAAAGTATTTTCAGCATACTAGATACATGCTGATTTCAGGTAGAACGTTGAGTTTGTGTTTCTAGGCTGATCACCTTAATTTTTGTCTTTGTTTTTCAGCAGTTTAAGTAGATCGTTAGATTCAGAACCAGGAGAGGCAGAGGAGACCTGGAGGAGTGAAGAGGACAGGGCCTGTTCACGGTCAGCTACAGTTCAGATAGGAACTTTTCAGCACATACAATTCATGCTAAGTGTTTCCCTTCAGAAGTTAATGCTACATCTCAGCCTGTCCAACAAATGCATAACAGGACAGGAGAGTTGGCTCATGATAGATAGATAGATAGATAGATAGATAGATAGATAGATAGATAGATAGATATTGTCATATGCATAATAAAGAATATATATATTTATATATATAAAACAAACAAACAAAAATAATATAAATAGATACAACAAAATAAAAAGAGACAGAAACTAAGGTGCGTATTGTCTATTTACGAGTAGCAGCATCAGTGAGATGATGTAGCAGTAGATATACATACATTCTGTAGCCTAATGAAAATATTTCTTTGTTGAATTTTCTTGGAAAGTAGTCGTGTAGTGTGCATAGAACATGGCATTTGATGTTTTTTGCCAGTGGTGATGATACCAGATTGTTTTTTTTACATTCTGAACTGTTGTGTCTGATGCAGCCTTTTGGAGTGGTTGAACCCAGAGCCTCTGAACCGTGATCCAGACACTACAAAAGATGTGGTAGGTTTCCTCAGTTAATTCTAAACTTTACAAACTTCTGTGCAGAAGCTGCTGCTCAAAAATGTGGTCTGAAGTTTGATGGCACATGTTGTGGTTATACAAGAGCTCAAAAACTGCTAAAAGGAAGCTTTCAAGCTGGAGAAGGAGATGGGTGGCTGCCTGCTATGCATATCAGTTTCATTAGTAAATGATGTCACTGACTGATGGTAAGTCATCCACAAAGCATGGCAGCTTCTTTGGAAAATTTCACCTGTTTCTTTTCCCTCTCTGTGTTTTTTCTATAAGCTGAATTGAGGAGGGCACCTCTGCCAGGCTCCAGACAACGACCATGTACTCACATTTTGCAATCATTCTGGAGACACTGTTCAAACTAGCAATTCATTTTTTAATTAAATGATAATTCAGATCCTCCTGTGCTGCTATAGTGCTACATTTCTGATGAGGACAATTCAGACAAGCAATCAGCAGACCCACTCTTTGTTAGAGAAATGACCCGTGCAGTTTACGTGGCTGACATGGTGAAAGGAATGCCATGTATTGTGTACACTGCTCTCTTTGTGACCCAACATTTGCTCAGAAAACTGAGTTTGACGAAATGGCCGCAAACTTTAAGCATGAAATGCTCCCTTTAGAACTGCCTAAAACTTGATTCTTTGCTTTCTGTGGAAGCACTCCTGCACTTTGTTAGGTTTCCCTTTACAAGAGAACACAGCACATTGTTGTTTCTGAATATTGGATATTTATTACAAAAGCATTTACCAGTAATACAGTTGGCATGAAAAAATATGAATGTGTTGTATTGCATGTCGAGGTAAGTGGTGCTCCTAAATTTTGTGCAGGTGCTACGAACATTTTCTGTGCTGCCGGTGGAAAAACATTACTTTTTATGAAAACTGTTGGAAACCTCACTGGTGTTTTCAAAAATACAGTTGTTTCATCTATTGATTTACATATTGGTTCATTTTTTAAAACTCTTACTAACTACCCTTTTCACCCTCTCTTCCTTTCAACAGTGAGTTAGCACAAACCCTGCTCTGCCCACATAGTCCAATGTCCTCTCACTCACTCATAGTGCTGTTTTCTTCTCATCACTCATGTCATTTGCTTCAGTTAAAGCATTTTGTTTTTCCTTTTTTTCTCATGTGTTACTTAAAAATGTGCAAGATTGCAGTGCTTTTCTTTTCGTTTGCACTATAGTATCTTTTTTTTGACTTGGAGACAATTGACATGGGCAGGGGGCTTAAAATACTCGGACAGATGTTACTTTTTTTTTTGGAAATACATAAAATCACACTGTTTTTTACCTGTACTATATTGCCTTTTGAACATGTGATATTTTAAACAAGTGCACTACTTCAGCAAAGTTTTCAAAAATGTGAAAAAATGTATTGTTATCATGTTATAGCATTATATGTACAATTGTATGCCCTCAATGTTGTTACAGTTTTTCTACTGTGAAAAGGATAAAACAGCATAAAATTGTGACATCTTTTAAGATATTGTTTCGAAGTTAGAAATTCCAGTTATGTGACAACACTACCTTCATTTCAAGTGTGTCTGCTGCTCTGCCATGTCCAAGCTTTAAAACCCACTGATGATGTTTTTACCATGTTCAGTGGTATTATTTATTTGTCTATGTCTTGTCTCCTTGCTTTTCTCAGGTACCCCTCGATGATCCCAGGAGCAGTGGGATTCTGGTGCACTGTGCTCTTCCAGTGGAACCCTGTAGCAGCCCGGGTGACGCCCCCATCACAGATGCTCTGCGCTTGGTAAACAAGAATATACCCTGAGTTTTGTTTTGAGGCTGTTAAAAAATGAAAATCAGACAAAGTATAGCTGAACAGAGGTCTAAAAACCTGTACTAACCAATAGTGTCAAACTGACGCAAACACAAAACTTTCCGTTGATTTTCACAAGAGAACATAATCCTCCAGCTAAGCCTTGCTCAAGTCTCTGAACCCTGTCTGAATGACATCCACAGCAATAAACAAAAGTTTACTTGCACTTATAAAGACCTTGTATATCATGGCAGTCTTAAATTCAATGACTCCTTTAACTCAGAATTTTCTATGATGGAATCCTTGAAACACGTGTCTTTGTCACAAAAAAACCCGAAACCAAAACAACCATGCATTTTGGTTCTTTTGTAGATTTATTATAGGTTTTCTAGAAAATAGAAAAAATCTGCTGAATGTAAACTTTTCGTCACGAGTGTATGTTCATGTTCTGTAGCTACAAACCTGTCGCTAACTGTTTAAAAAAACAAAATGAAAAAAAACAAGGATATTTAATAAGCATGCTCTCTTAGCACGTTCAGGTACAACACTGCTTGTGTGGGACCACAGTTAACTTGTGTTATTGTTATATAAATCTTTATAAATCGTTTAGCCATAACTGTAGCCATATTGTTTTTGTCCTGTGAAGTGTCTGTAGTACTGAGAAAAACTATTTCCAGAGTGTTTAGCTTTTTAGGGGAATTTTATCACAATTATCATAGTGCATATCTGCAGTGATCTTATTTTTCAAATCTTTGCTGTTACCAAGAGTCAAATATGTTTATACTCTTAGTTATTCTGCTCATTTCAAGCATGCCCATAAATGGCCTTAAAATGCAAGTTTGTGTGATGCTCCCCACTTTAATTTAGGGAATCTCCAATAAACTAAGAACAGCTTGTGCATTTCTTGACCTGAAATCTGCACAATCACGTGTTTACTGTTAAGTGTAGAATTGTATTTAATTTATTCTTTCAAATTTCAAACAAACAACAAAAAAAATAATATTGCACAGGTTTTTGCTCGAGAAAAAAAGAAAAAAGAAGCAATCTTTGTAAGAATTTACGCAGTCAGTGAGTTACATTAGGCCCAGCCAAGTCACTGGGTCAGTGCTGTTTGGGGAGAGGCATTTTACTGATATTTTACTATAGCAGGGATTTTCACATTCCACACAGCAGCTGTAAATGAAATTAAAGTCTTAGTAGAGAAATAATTGTAAAAAAGAGAATTCTTGTAAAGAACTGATTTAAAAGCAGGTGTTCTAGCATTCAAGACAATTTAACAAAAAAGACTAATGTGCTTCACACCAGTGGCGGCTGGTGAAAATTTTTGGTGGGGGGCACAGTCTGCAAATGACCTTTGTTTTTGTTTTTTTGTTTGTTTGTTTTTTTAAAATCAGAAATTAGAATATGAGTAACATCAGGCACAATTATTTACAGGAATAAATATGTTCTACCTTTGGAGGATATTCTCATCATAATCTAATTTAACATTATCAAGATTTACTGGAACTAAATTTCAAAACCATTCATCAAACTTTCATCAATATTTACAGGATCTGTAGAAACTGAAAACACAACATAAATAATGTAAAAAAAAAAGCACTATTCAGGGCTCCAGACTGACTCTTTCACGGGTAGCACCAGTACAACCCACTTTCTCTTTTTGTCGCACCTCCCACCTGGTCAGAGGCAAAACATTTGACTTGTTGAACATTTTCTTACCGATAGATGCCACGATTTACTGAACGCCCCTCATAGCAGGCTGTGGTAGATGCTGTTGGTGGCTGTGGTGTGCTCTGACAGGCGTGCAACCAAAAATAACTTAAAAAATAATAAACTAGGGCGTACTAATGTCAGATTTGTCCAAGATGAGTTACATGTATTCTATACGCGGTCTTTTCTATGACCAGTCTTTTCTCCATTGGCAGCATGACCGATGCATTAAGCCATCATGACAGTAGCTGTCCTCTTAGAAGAGGAGGGGAAAGGCCGTGAGATGGCGTCAGTCGTAAGACTGTCAAAGGACAGTTTTGATATCCAACCACAGAAGACAAAAGCAAATAAAGACAAAATTAATTGGCTTACAGCAAAAGTGGAAGGGTCCGGGACACACCGAGCTGTGCCCCGTGAGAAAGTCTGCAGCTGCCAATCAGAGCCCGGGCTGAGGTCACATGGTCCCGAAAAGTTTTTCGAGCAACATACACACTTGTGTGGCCACGCCCTGCATCCAGGAAGTGTAAAATTAGTAAACATGCATTAAAGACTCATTTTAAATCTGTTAATAATACAAATATTGTTAATATAGAAAAAGAATATGAAGGTTATTATTATTTTGTTATTATTTTGTTATAATTAATTCTAATTTAATTTTACGTTTGAGAACTGCTTTTTGTCTTGTCATTAGTTGTGGGGCGGCACCCTTGCGCCTGCATTAACCAGCAGCCACTGCTTCATACCATTGGTTGATGCTGTCATACGAAAAAAGGGGCCAAAGTGCCCCAACAGTCCACAGCTCAGGATTTTCCTCCAAAATGCAGATGAAGTAGTAGCAGGTGCCAGCCAATCTCCAGGTGTCAGAGGTAGTCCTGGATGGTTTTGGACAGTGTGGCCAGGAAGCAGTGATCAAATCCCCTATCTCTAAATGTCGACTCCAGAACTTAACACTAACAGGGGTTTACACACTGGAGCCATTCTTCCGGTGTGACCAGTTTGTATCAGAGAAACATCTATATTGACACTGAGACCAA